TACAGCTCTGTCAGTGCAGCAAATCCCTATATTCTTGTGCCATATAGATATGTTGGACAGGAAAAAGTATTGAAGCTTCATGCAATTTTATATTTTTTCTCAGAAGTTACATATATATACAGTACATAAATCACAGATTTGCCTAGGGCAAATGTTTCTAAATTTTCCTGTAGGGTTCGAGCACTTTTCAGTAATTCATACTTTACACGATTTCCTGTGTTTATTTCACCATGGAAACATGTTAGCATTAATGTAGAGGCAAATTTAAAGGTACTGGGAGTAAAGATAGGGCTGTTTTGAGTGGAATAGATTGTTTTAGTGTCCAGAATATGAACGTTGCTTCGTTTAGTGGTCGAACAGTGGGAAAAGACCCTCGAGGTGAGTCTTACCATCAAGTAGTGGTTCCCTGGCTTCTACATTTGTTGGAACTGATGAATTTGATAACAAATTAGGTTAAAATCACCACTGCCACAACAATGTGAGTGTCTAACTTAATCTCCTGAGGGTCAATTTGAAGTCAAATGATATGAATATCATGAAATATGTTCACTGCTGACAACAGAACATGTCACAAACCCTTGTTTTAAATGCAAACAGTGTAGCATATGATCAATTCTTTCTGTCTGTCCCCTTTTGAATATGCAACGACCTAATTTTCTTTTCCTTTTTTAAAAATATACCCTTTTTCACCCATAGGACTTTCAAAATGAATTTCTGTTTTATTAACAACTGTCTCATTGCTGTTATGGATTTTATGATTTGACATTTAATGTAATCTCAACACTATTTTCAGCTTGTAGAATGCCTGTTGGTGAATGGGGAGGTGTATCTTCACAAATACAGCAGAAAAAGAAGCCTTCACATCCAATGTGGTATTTGGACAAGCCGGCCTGAAGTCTGTTGTTGTTGGCAGTGTCTAATCAAGCATACTCCCTTTGTTCGATATGCTTTACCGCCTTGTAGAAGTTGCAGTACTTGGACATGTAGGTACATATAGTACATTTAAGTGTCCCAGTCCAGTTAAGGCAAAACAATGTCTCACTACCAAATTCCATCACTCGGTCATCCTCATCCATTAGAAATTTCTGACAGTGTCCCCTTAATGCCTCAGTGTGTAGTATTTCAGTTTCCCAGACATGAAATAAGGGCTGTTCATCAATCCCAGAAGCTGCTTAGATGTAAATAATAACAACTGACCCTTGTGGAATGTAATATTAGGGGTCTGAATTCACATTTTATTGACATGAGAGTGTTCGATATCTTAAAATTATCTCCCCTGTTTACGCAAATACATTGTGTCTTTCTCTAACCCAGTAACCCATAAATTACTGCAGAGAAGCTCTGTTTTTAGCTGATATTGCCAAACACTGTTAATTGTAATTAAAAATATTCAGTTTGGGGCAGGGTAACCAATACATTTCCAAAGTTATGTGGTCTTTTTCACTCTGTTCCCTCTAAACTGGCTTATACATGACATTGGCAAGTCTAACAGCCTCAAAACAATACACAGTCAATAATTTTGAATGTCGGGAAGTATTTCAAAGTCTTAGCTTGATGAATCAATAGATTCAAGTGTAAGTTCTTATCATGCTGTGGTCTAAAAGTGATTTCATCTGTTGAAGGGGTCATTTGCCTTGATCGACTAACCGGCGGCAGGGTACTGTGGTCAGTGTTTCAGACTGCTAGGCATAATCCAACCCCTCACTTATTACATTCTGGCAAAGTTCATCATCCAGCCTTACATATGTCAGGATGTTAAAGCTGTTTAATGTTAAACCTGTCCAATTTCTGGCCTGAATTCCATGATTTTTGTCGTTCCAAATATATTTTGGATTGATATGATCAAGGCAGTCCCAGTCATGCATGGAATTCACCCATGGCCCCCCTTCTTTTGTGAAATAAGAGTAAACTCCCATGGTATATTTATGATTTGAAACCTTTCTCTATTAATGCAGAAGTGCATTTTGTATAGCTTTGGTGAAACAGACATGATATCACTCTGACAGCTCTGTCAGTGCAGCAAATCCCTATATTCTTGTGCCATATAGATATGTTGGACAGGAAAAAGTATTGAAGCTTCATGCAATTTTATATTTTTTTCTGAGAAGTTACATGTATATACAGTACATAAATCACAGATTTGCCTAGGGCAAATGTTTCTAAATTTTCCTGTAGTGTTCGAGCACTTTTCAGTAATTCATACTTTACACGATTTCCTGTGTTTATTTCACCATGGAAACATGTGAGCATTAATGTAGAGGCAAATTTAAAGGTACTGGGAGTAAAGATAGGGCTGTTTTGAGTGGAATAGATTGTTTTAGTGTCCAGAATATGAACGTTGCTTCGTTTAGTGGTCGAACAGTGGGAAAAGACCCTCGAGGTGAGTCTTACCATCAAGTAGTGGTTCCCTGGCTTCTACATTTGTTGGAACTGATGAATTTGATAACAAATTAGGTTAAAATCACCACTGCCACAACAATGTGAGTGTCTAAGTTAATCTCCTGAGGGTCAATTTGAAGTCAAATGATATGAATATCATGAAATATGTTCACTGCTGACAACAGAACATGTCACAAACCCTTGTTTTAAATGCAAACAGTGTAGCATATGATCAATTCTTTCTGTCTGTCCCCTTTTGAATATGCAACGACCTAATTTTCTTTTCCTTTTTTAAAAATATACCCTTTTTTCACCCATAGGACTTTCAAAATGAATTTCTGTTTTATTAACAACTGTCTCATTGCTGTTATGGATTTTATGATTTGACATTTAATGTAATCTCAACACTATTTTCAGCTTGTAGAATGCCTGTTGGTGAATGGGGAGGTGTATCTTCACAAATACAGCAGAAAAAGAAGCCTTCACATCCAATGTGGTATTTGGACAAGCCGGCCCGAAGTCTGTTGTTGGCAGTGTCTAATCAAGCATACTCCCTTTGCTTCGATATGCTTTACCGCCTTGTAGAAGTTGCAGTACTTGGACATGTAGGTACATATAGTACATTTAAGTGTCCCAGTCCAGTTAAGGCAAAACAATGTCTCACTACCAAATTCCATCACTCGGTCATCCTCATCCATTAGAAATTTCTGACAGTGTCCCCTTAATGCCTCAGTGTGTAGTATTTCAGTTTCCCAGACATGAAATAAGGGCTGTTCATCAATCCCAGAAGCTGCTTAGATGTAAATAATAACAACTGACCCTTGTGGAATGTAATATTAGGGGTCTGAATTCACATTTTATTGACATGAGAGTGTTCGATATCTTAAAATTATCTCCCCTGTTTACGCAAATACATTGTGTCTTTCTCTAACCCAGTAACCCATAAATTACTGCAGAGAAGCTCTGTTTTTAGCTGATATTGCCAAACACTGTTAATTGTAATTAAAAATATTCAGTTTGGGGCAGGGTAACCAATACATTTCCAAAGTTATGTGGTCTTTTTCACTCTGTTCCCTCTAAACTGGCTTATACATGACATTGGCAAGTCTAACAGCCTCAAAACAATACACAGTCAATAATTTTGAATGTCTGGAAGTATTTCAAAGTCTTAGCTTGATGAATCAATAGATTCAAGTGTAAGTTCTTATCATGCTGTGGTCTAAAAGTGATTTCATCTGTTGAAGGGGTCATTTGCCTTGATCGACTAACCGGCGGCAGGGTACTGTGGTCAGTGTTTCAGACTGCTAGGCATAATCCAACCCCTCACTTATTACATTCTGGCAAAGTTCATCATCCAGCCTTACATATGTCAGGATGTTAAAGCTGTTTAATGTTAAACCTGTCCAATTTCTGGCCTGAATTCCATGATTTTTGTCGTTCAAAATATATTTGGGATTGATATGATCAAGGCAGTCCCAGTCATGCATGGAATTCACCCATGGCCCCCCTTCTTTTGTGAAATAAGAGTAAACTCCCATGGTATATTTATGATTTGAAACCTTTCTCTATTAATGCAGAAGTGCATTTTGTATAGCTTTGGTGAAATAGACATGATATAACTCTTACAGCTCTGTCAGTGCAGCAAATCCCTATATTCTTGTGCCATATAGATATGTTGGACAGGAAAAAGTATTGATGCTTCATGCAATTTTATATATATTTTTTTTTTATAAATCAGTATCACATGCTCCGTGCGCGTGCAAGTCAAGAGAGACAGAGACATGTGATTGGATAAAATAGTGTAAGATGTTTGTTTTTTAAAAGTACATCCAACCAGTAATTAAAACTGACCACAATTTTAAGTATTTAATGCTGTCATTTTTATCACCATCACTTATGCTTATTGTGTGTACAGATATTTTCCAGTAGGTGACATTTGGTGCGGAACTGGGGTTGATGTGTTCCGCTTCCTTTGCTCGCAAAACGAGCCTAACAAATTGGCCAGATATTGTGTTTTTATGGTAGTTTAAAGGCCAGAGTGTACATGGAATGGCTGTTGATAGCTTGTCTATTTTTTTTAAAATTATAAGGTTACTATAGAAGTCTATGGGAAAACATTTGGTGATGTGTAACCACAAAGTCTAATAATTGCAACAAAGCCGAATTTTGCACAGTCACATGAAATCGACAGACCAACTCTGATGATTTGTCTCATAATTTTGGACACCCGAATATATATAATATATGCTATCATTATTTTGTTGACACTTTTCTCTATGTTTGCGAGGGGGACCACTTGCTATTAGAACAGCCAGGTAATCAACAAGCGTGTGTAGTGTAATTTCAAATTCACACCTGCTGCACGGCCATCTGGCTGTTCTACCAATTTTATGCAGTGATTAAATGTTGTGTTAGTGAACAATTCATCGGTCTCAATTGAAATCAAACGGACTTTAATCATATTTGACATATATTTACAACCAATAGCAACCTGTAGTGACGTTTAGAAATGTTGATGCTGAAGGATGTCCGGGTGAGGGGATACTGCAGCTGTAGCCACCCACCCCCTCCCTCACCAACATCAACACCAGTGCTTTACCAGAAAAAACAGACTTTCAGAAAACGTTTCCCGAATAAATATTTATTTGTTTAACACAAGTGGAACAATATACGATTTTGATAAATAACATTGTATTCTTATTAGTAATTATAATATTTCAGAATTATTTCAGAATTTTCAAGATTTGTCCAGTAAACACAAAAATTACCTCTTTTTCCATGTCGTTACATTGTCAGTGGCACACATACGAATGTTCCTTACAAAATGTAATGGTGTAGGTCTCATTTTCTATCCAAGGGCTGGTGTGGTCATTGAGAGCCCACCATCGGCCCTGAAACACTCCCCAGTTACAAAGGCTGCTTTATCCGAGGCTAGGAAGGCCACAATGTGACCCATTTCTTCTGGGGTACACGCTCGACCAATTGGTGTCGCCTGTCTTATAGCTTTATCCATCTGAAAGAAAAAGAGTGAATGAATTAGAAAAAGAATGTAGTATATGTATCGTAATCAATGAGTAAATTGGGCGCTAGTTCTATACGCTTATAAGCTCTTCCCCGCCCCACTTGGGAAGTCTGCGATTTACAATACGGTAGGATCTGTTTGTTGCATGATCATGTTCGTTACCACTGAGTGTTGTGATATCAAAACAACGTGAAAGGTTCCCATGCTATAATCACAGGTTTCCACTCAGGGTGTGGTGGGTTAAACGTACCTGGTCGGATACTTCTTTAGTCAACACCTTTGACATTATGTTGCTGGGTACATAGCCTGGACTGTAACAATGGAAACAACACAGTAAAAACATCTATCAACACGAATGCATCACTAGCAGTGACTGTAACACTTTAAATCAATACAATGACGGTATATCAGAATAAACCAACAGACTAGGTGAAAGTATATGGAATAATAGCAAGAAATTAAGTGTAACTCACTAACAACCAAAAACGTAAAAGACATGCACGATGACATAAAACATTCACACAATTCAGTTGACGTCATGTGCATCCTTGACAACTGAGTCTGCAGAGTAAGTCGACAGCTTTGAAAACATTTTTTGGAGCAATGTGATGCAATATTATGTATGTGATATTCATTTGCAATATCTTCTACAACGTTTCAGAAGGAATTACGACAAATGAAAACATATGATGTATAATGCTCAGTTTATTGAATCTCATTTTAAACTGAACTTAAATGAATCTAAGTGACACTATTCCTCATCTCCTCATAGCCATAGGAATCTCGACAGCAAATATTGTTTTTTTCTGGTTGTACTTACTTGATTGAATTGACACGTACACCACGTGATGCCAGTTCTGTGGAAAGAAATTATTTTGTTGTTTATTTGTTCCTTACCGATGCTTGGACAGTAAGATTGCCTTCAGTGACAGGTAAGCATGGTTTAGGACACAATCTAACACGGATTCTTTAATGATTAAATTAAAAGCATCGCTTTTAAATCTAAGATTCTTACATCCTCAAGTGTTCAAGACATGAAGGACTTCCATTAGATTTATATGTTTTGAGTGAGTAAATCGGTTTACTGATACTCTCATATATACTTACCTTGAGCAAGGTATCTTGTGAATGTATCTAAGGCCGCCTTCGACATGATATAGACACCTGTATTCGGCATCTGAACGGAAAAAGAATGAAACATTTGGTCAAAGGCCTTTATATGACATACGAAAATAGCAGGAGCAGTCTGTTCATTTCATTCTATTTAGATGTGCAAAAGGGATGATGTATATTCAGGGTCTTTGAACCTGGAAAGGAAAGGAACTCACATTGTGACCATTAACTCTTTCTTTACTCACACAACACTCATTTTGGTCATACAGCATCCGACCGCCTCCCTGGTGTACTGGTTAGAGCGTCCGCCCGGAGTGCGGAAGGTCGCAGGTTCGATCCCCGACCGCGTCATACCAAAAGACGTTAAAATATGGTACTTGTTGGTCCCTGCCTGGCGTTCAGCATTAACGGGTACAACAAGGACTGGTCGGCTCGGAGTCAGTATAATGTATCTGAGTGGGGTATTCATGCTTCACTGCGGCATGGTATCTCAGTGGGCTAGCACTATAAAACCAGCTTCAGTCTGGGCTAGTACAAGCAGCCGCACATACACACGCATGCACGTCGTCATATGAGCGAAATATTCTCAAGCACGACGTTAAACCCAATTCCACCACCACCATACAGCATCACCTCGGCTTCCTGTGTTATACGCGTGGCCTATCCTACACTCAAACGGCTACGGGATGTGTAAAGTTGCTCTGTTTTACAGGTTGTGAATTATTCTTATAACCATCACACTCACGATCATGGACGTTCCGGCAGACGACGTATTGACCACGTTTCCTGAAACAAAATTATTTGATCAGCAAAAGATTAGTGACTTCAGGTAGAAAGCTGGAAATATCGTGTGTTCATGTTAACATCTTATCTAATGAAAAGACATACAGTTATTATAATTAGTTCTATATGGCGTTTGTAAAGGACTGAATATATTTTAGTCACAGCCTCACAACGTACAGTTGTTTCTCTGAAACGTGATGCTGAACAAGTTGTGGTGACAACACCTTTATCCAGGACATACAGTATCCTCCTGCGAGGGTATGTAAGTCCCAAAACATTTGAAGTCAATTTAAGTGTACCAGGTTTTTAATCGTACTATTGTTGTGTTTTTAATGTATGGCTTAATGTCAGCATCAACGCCAGTGGCTGAAGCGATGGTGTAAATCCAGCTAGGGTCCACGCAGGGAGCAAAAGTAATGTAAGTCCCTAGTCTGGTGATCTCCTTTCAGTTGTTGGCGATGTCTAGCCACTTTTTTATATTGTATTGTCCAATTAGTGCTATTTGTTTTAACTTTCTACGCTAGTTTTACTTCAATTTGTGATATTCTAGTTGTTTTACTGTCCTTCGTCGGCAGGTTTTTATAATATCTATATATATTCTATTTCCATGTCAGATGTTCTCGTCACGATATGGCTGCAATATTGCCGATGTGACATTAAATAATAACTCACTCCTCACCCCTTCCAGGACATACAGCAAATTGTACGGTGAGTTGAGTACTGTCTTTAGCGTCTTGTTTTCTAGAATGAGTTGTTTTCAACAATGAAATTCAGACATAAAACCACCCATGAAATCACAGCCATTTAGAAAGTACCTTTAGTTTCAATCAAATGCGGTGCAACTAACTGTGTCAAGAACAAAGGTGCCTCAACGTTGACAGCCATCATTCTGTCGTACTGCTCTTTGGTCGTTGATGTCAGCGGAATCAGGTCTGAGATCCCAGCGTTGTTCACCTAAACACAGACATATGATATACCTAGCTTGTTTGTGTTACGGGTTAACGCCACCATCTGTAGCGTCTGTGTCGTACATAGTCGGGTAATGTAAAGTGTATGCAAAACCCAGTGATTGATAATATGAGCAACGGTCCACGCCACCAAGGTATTATGACTCTTTATCCACCGATTAACCACTGACTATCAAATCTCTTAAAACCCATCTAATGATTTAACCTAGTGCTTAAAGGGTTGGCTCGTTACATCGATGACTGGTTGGATTCCCCACGGTACATTTTGTGAAGCCCAGTTTTGTGTAGCCCGTCTCGGTATTCCTACACAGTTCAATCAATAGGGATGATCGATAAAACTCGAGTACTCCAAAACACGCATATGTTAATGGGACCTCTTTTATCCTTACAAATCCTTTTCATTTGATGTTCCTGTACATCCTTATAAACAGACTGTTGCGATTTTTCAAATAGTTCCATTTTCCTTTTGCACTGAGAAAATCGTTACGCTGGTGACACATTGGCATCCTTGAAATCAGATCAACAGAACAAAAGCGATAAAGCTCTTTCCACATGCATAAGAAATCTCTGCTAAACGCAGATTTGATTGTATAATTGTGACACTATATCATGAACATGTATTTGTTTCAGTGAGTGACTTGAATTTTACGCCGCACTCAGCAATATTCCAGCTATATGGCGGCGGTCTGTAAATAATCGAGTCTGGACCAGACAATCCAGTAATCAACAGCATGAACATCGATCTGCGCAATTGGGAACCGATGACATGTGTCAACCAAGTCAGCGAACCTGACTACCCGATCCCGTTAGTCGCCTCTTACGACAAGCATGGATTACTGAAGATCAATATTCTAACCCGGACCTTCACGGGTAGTATTTGTTTCAACAGTATTACAGTTGTACGATGTTGTTTGTAAACAATCGAGTCTGGACCAGACAGTCCAGTCCAGTCATTGTCACCATGCGAGACGATGACAGAGATGGATATTCAAAGTGATGGCCAGAAACACGTGTTTGTGCAAAGCAGCGATTTAATGGATCGGGTGAAGCTCGGTGACGCTATCAATCACAGGATGTTCTGGTTGTGCATATGTGGATTAGCCATTACTGTTTGCGGCTATAAAGAAGAAACAAATAACATCAAAATTTAAACAAAACGTTTAGCTGAACTATAATTAATTATATTTTTCCCAATTAGTCGTGGTGGTACAGAATATATGCATGCATATGTCCTTCCATCCCGTCTGCAGTATGTAAAGTATACTCACCAGTATGTCTATTTTCCCGAACTTCTTCTTGGTTGAATCCACGAGAGTCTTTCTGAAAGCATCGTTTGTGACGTCTCCCACGTTTATGAGAACGTCCTGAAACAGAAAGCTGATCACCTTGATAAATTATAACTTCAATTCTGTATAAACATCTTCGATTTTGCAGTGTGGACAGATTTCGATTGCTTTATGCACTTATTTTGTGACATGTTTGGAAACTGTACCAATATTGATTTGAGGACCTGTATCGCTTAATGGACACGATTTTAAAAGACTAATTGCAGTGCCTTGGACTATTGAGGCTGTACTTAATGATGACTTTCTTTACCGCTTTCTACTTACCTGGCACCCTGCCTTCTTGCAGTTCTTGACCACTTCTTCCAAATTCTTCTGGTTCCTACCAGTCAATGACAGTTTGGCGCCTTCTTTTGAAAATGCTACAGCAATCCCTGCCCCAATTCCTGAACTGGAACCTGAAAGAGGAGATTGTGTTGACTCAAATCAAACACGCAAAGAATTCCTCGTGTATTCATCGTGTTGTGTGTGTGAGTATGCGTGTGGACCTCTTTTTCATCCTTATGTGCATCGGCTATCAGTAGATCTATGAATTTATATGTACATTTCTGTGATGAAACGTGCTCCTTTCAACGTATGTTATGACATCCTTCAGTGTCCTGGTGAAATCTGATTACTAATCTAAACATGAATAACTAAACACGAATGGCTATAGTAACAACATTCACTACTGAAACATTGAAATTATTCTATTTAGAATTAACGCCAGACATTATAACAACACGAGAAGTAATCTTGCTTCACAAAGCGCACGCGTGTGTGTGTGTGTGTGTGTGTGTGTGTGTGTGTGTGTGTGTGTGTGTGTGTGTGTGTGTGTGTGTGTGTGTGTGTGTGTGTGTGTGTGTGTGTGTGTGTGTGTGTGTGTGTGTGTGTGTGTGTGTGCGTGCGCGCGCGCGTGTACAAGCGAGTCCGGTAATGTCGCGCGTCCGGTAATACATCGTAAACAAAGGTAAACATTGTCTGCTACCACATTTACGCTTGAAATCGGGACATTTCTATAAGGGACTGGCTTTTAGTCACTAAAGGTAAGTAAATAACTGTAATTGGCAGATAAATTGACAGTTTTATGAAAATTCGTTTTCTTCAGACTTTTAAACCTTTTTCTTCAGTATTCATAATTGGATTTAATATGAAACACTCTTTCTCACATTGATGAAGTGATTTTGAAAATAATCTGGCCCTAATACGCTTCCATACTTCGGATCTCCAGCTGGATGTTATGCGCATCAGTTGCTGCGCAGCATTACCGGACAGCAAGCGATATCGTCAGAACGCTGGTAAGGTGAATCGTATGGCATAATGCAACGTTAGAATCTTATAGTCGTCAGTAAAACTTATATTTCTAGGTAAATATGATGCATTCCAGCATGTTTAATCACGTAAACCACAAAAAATAAGAGACTTCAGTTGCCGTGTTGCAATCGATGTGCTTAGGTGCGCGGAATTACCGGGCGGCATTGCAATTACACCTGCTACATTTCTATGTATGTAATGGCATTAGACCCCTGATTTAAATATTATGTTCACTATTCAGAATCAAGCATCCTTCACTAGCTTGGTGAAATCTGATTGCTTAACTAAACAAGAATAATTAATAACATTTTCACTCTCGAAACATTGCAACAATATTCACGCAGAAAGGAGCAGCTGGTGAAAAATGGCAAGACTGATCACCACAATATTGTCAGCAGTCTCACAAACAAGTTCATGAGCCCCGAAGGTAACCACATCAGCACAACAAACAACATCTGCAACGGTAATATATGATGGATAATTGTTTGGAATGAACGTATGATGATATGAAAAGAACAGCTGGAGGTATAAGAGAGGCAACCATAAAACCATCTTAGTATCACAGGCAATGTCAGCAATGCCTCTCGAACACTACCATAATTCCCAGGAAAAGAATCGGAATAACACCTGAACGTCTCCCTTACATCCATGAACAACACCAGCATCTCCATAGAAAACATTAGAGACCCAGAAACATTTTCAACAGCAACACAAAACACATCGAAGGAATTTTACAATCATGATCAGCTCATCAGCAGCCCACGACACAATTTCGGCAGCATAGAAAATATCAGAAGGAAACTCATAAACATGATCATCTCATTAGCAGCGCAAGAAACAATTCCAGCAGCACCAGGGGACTCTGGGGTTGCAGTATCCTCTCGCATCTACAGCCCAGGACCTAGATTTTCGAGGCTCTACTAGCTTTAAGATAGTCGTACGTGCCATTCATTAATATTACCTGACGACTATCTTAGCGCTAAGAGAGAAAACCTAGACCCAGCTGGCCTGTCCACAATGACAACCAGTGTACTTGCTGGTCTGATGTCTGTAATGTACGAGCCACTGTCGTCTGGGTTGACGGAGCTTCACCACCCGATTTCTTTTATCGATCCTTACGACATGCTTTGTTTGCTGACATACCAATGGTCGAGGATTCAAACCCATGAAAACCAAATACTTTATACGTTTTCCACAATGACAAAATCTCACCTGTAATGATAGCAACTTTTCCTCTCAGTGCCATTTCAACAGTGGGTGAATGATTCAGCAAGTTTTTGTGTTTGAGAGTCGAGGTCTTGTTTGTGTGTTAACTGTGTTATCTACTGCATGTTATATATAGCAAAGTCAACGCATGCGCACCCTTGCTTGCCCGGGTGGACTCGGTGTTAATATGCTGCCCCAGATCATGACTCAGCGATAATGTCCATGTCGCCATGACCTGCTGCACTGTTATCTTCCAGAACTATCCATCTCTCAACTGCTCTAAGATTATGTATAGATTTGGTGTATTGAAGACTGGCTTTCCACTAACACCTTAAATTGTTCACAGAGAATGTATTCTAAACTTGTATTTAAGAACACTGCATCAGCCTATCGTGGCTTTGTACATTCGACAACAATGAACGACCTGTGTGTCTACATTTTGATTTCCGTCATGGTATATCTACACCCGCCTTTGTGTTACCCATGGTATATCTACGCCCGCCTTTCTGTTACCCATGGTATATCTACGCCCGACTTTCTTTTACCCATGGTATATCTACGCCCGACTTTCTGTTACCTAAGGTATATCTACGCCCGCCTTTCTGTTACCCATGGTTTATCTACACCCGACTTTCTGTTACCCAAGGTATATCTACACCCGACTTTCTGTTACCCATGGTTTATCTACTCCCGACTTTCTGATGTTCATTTTAGGACATTGCATCAACCACTTGTGGCATTGTGTATTCATTAACAATGACCGGCCTGTTTGTTTACAGCATCACTTATTTAGCTGGGATAAGTGATTGCGTTCTGTCGATGTCTGGACAAGACAACCTCATGATTGATATTATGAGCACAAATGCATACATTGAACCAGGTAACCAAGTCTGACCACCCGTTTCGTGTCGTCATCCTCAGACTCTACGTAAAGCATGGACCTCTTTTATATCTGGTATCCTCCAGAGTGCCCTTTTGTTGAAGGAAAGCTTTATTGGTTGAATTTTGTTGAACGCCGCACTTGGCATTACTTCATCTTAATCACGACGGCCTGTGGATAATGGAATCCAGGGAATATCTACACATGGGGTTCTGAATACACAATGCCAATTTGAAAGTGGTCAGATGTAACCCATGTTATACTTGGGATACCAATCACACCATTGTTTTTTCTTTGGGATAAACACAGTCGATAAATACACTTCTCGATTTTAACATACATGTACTTATTATTTTAGATTAAGATACATACGGCTTAATCATGCTCTTTAAAATCTAAGCATTTACTGTACCATACAAGTAAAATCGACCGAGTATTTTTTTCACCGAAGCTGCCACGATATCTCTACTATAACGTGGACTTTGCATGCGTGTTAGTGCATTACAACACAAGTATGTGAGCGCGCTGTTCTCTATCAGATAAGTAGGACACCTGTACAACGATTGCTGTGACTGTATAAGGGCAATTGACATGATATCATGGGACTGATGACTCACTGAAAGCATGTACGCCGTAACTAACTAGCCTATCGACGAACATGTACCAACCAAATATATCAGTGGTCTGGCTTGCAATAACAATCACCACAAGTGAGCAGTCGGAAAGATGGCCCGTGAGAAAAATCACAACGTTCGAAATATCTGCTAAATGAGTTGCAAACTTCGGCGAAGGTCAATACAGGAACTCTGTGCTATTGGTAATATGTGGCCTGTCCCCGGTAATTTGCACAAAGTTGTATCTTTCGACTATCATCGATCAGTGGTGTGCAGGCACAGAACGTTGGTAAAGCTGCCTGTTTTTCTGTAAGATTATGTCATTACTACAAGAAAATTGCAAAGGACAGTTTCCGTCAACGTTTTGATACTAGATACGACACAATACACAAATCATCTGTTTTGGCTCAAATATATACCTGTCACAAGTATGGAGCTAGAGAGAAGATGTATGTGATGAGACAAAAACACCGGAGCTGTAACCTTGGAACGTTGTAGGATCAATATTAGTGCACACTCTACGTGCTTTGATAACTGCCTGTAACTGCCCTACGTCACGTACATACCGTCAGTCGCCGTAACATAGTTCTGTTATGATCACCGCCGGGTTAAGACATGGAGTCCACCTCACCTGGTTCTGTACATACGTAATTTACAGACGTGTTTTCCCTGTGGCTCCACGTCTGTCCTCAACCATCCGTTTCTTCACATTTAACGTCGGGATAAGTGACGGCGTTCTGTCGATAAGACATATCTTAGTGATTGATACCATGAGCACCGTCGGGGTACGACTGCATACCCTGAACAAAGTCAGCGAGCCTGAACACCCGATCCCCTAAGTCACCTCTTGCGACAAACATGGCTTGCTGAAGACCAATTCTAACAAGGATCTTCACGGATTCCACCTTTAGAGTAATCAGCTAAGTCACTGAGTCTGATCACGTCGTAATCCCACCGTCAGTTGCCGTATCCGTTGCAGAAGAAACCGTCGCCATTCATGATGCAAAGCTTCCACCACGTGAGTGAGTGAGTGAGTGAGTGAGTGAGTTTAGTTTGCACTCACCAATATTCCAGCTATATGGCGGCGGTCTGTAAAGAATCGAGTCTGGACCAGACAATCCAGGGATCAACAGCATGAACATCGATCAGCGCAACTGGTATACTATGACATGTGTCAGCCCAGTCAGCGAGCCTGACCACCCGATCCCGTTAGTGGCCTCTTACGACAAGCATGGGCTACTGAAGATCATTTCTAACCAGGACCTTCACGGGTTTCCATCACGTACACTTGCAATAATGGCGTAAATGACCATATGATCTCACGTATCATCATAAACAAACTGAAATTTAACATAGTTCTGTCAGCGGTAAGCATATGGAGGGGTGCTTAACCTTTTACCAGGTATATATCAGTCAATCTATATTCAGAACTGAAGGCGACGGGCCCATAGTACAGGTATATATCTAACGGGGATGGCTCTTTCACAATGACACAACTCCGTTGAGGCTGTAGTCCGGATTTATTAGGGTAGTTTGTATAAAGAATTCAAGTCTGAAACAATGTATATCAATATATAACACTCCATCAAAATATTTATTTTATCACATTCATTCATTTCATTGCACATTGTTCAGATAATTAACAATCACAGCTCCACCACTGTACATATAAAAAGAACTCAAGACAAATTGACATCACAAAATCAATGGTTCAGTTTCATATTACGATTCTTAGGAATTATGGAACACATCTGGCATCTTCAAAACTATGAAACATCAACGTGTCTTACCAGTCCAGGCCTGTTTCCTCTCTGCTGTACAAGTTTCACCACAGTTGTAGATTGTTCCCTCTTGATGGTCCACTGATGGTCCACGTCTGTTTCCTCTCTGCTGTACAAGTTTCACCTCAGTTGTAGACTGTTCCCTCTTGATGGTCCAGGTCTGTTTCCTCTCTGCTGTACAAGTTTCACCTCAGTTGTAGACTGTTCCCTCTTGATGGTCCAGGTCTGTTTCCTCTCTGCTGTACAAGTTTCACCACAGTTGTAGACTGTTCCCTCTTGATGGTCCACTGATGGTCAACGTCTGTTTCCTCTCTGCTGTACAAGTTTCACCTCAGTTGTAGACTGTTCCCTCTTGATGGTTCACGTCTGTTTCCTCTCTGCTGTACAAGTTTCACCTCAGTTGTAGACTGTTCCCTCTTGATGGTCCAGGTCTGTTTCCTCTCTGCTGTACACGTTTCACATCAGTTGTAGACTGTTCCCTCTTGATGGTCCACTGATGGTCCACGTCTGTTTCCTCTCTTCTGTACTTTCCTCTCTTCTGTACAAGTTTCACCTCAGTTGTAGACTGTCCCCTCTTGATGAGCTGAATGAAATCAAATATATTCGGGTGGCATGGGGTGAGGGAGTTGATCTTGTTGTGCTAACCGTCAATGTTGTTGTTTGTTCTGTGGCCATCATTAGCAAAGTGGTTCCAAGCCAGCTGGTCCCAGGCTCCCTCAATCCATGTTGTTGTCACATAGTCCATAAACTTGACACAGGCCTCTCCCTCGGGACTTTCACTGATAGCCTCTAGCCACACATTTTCGACTTGGTCAAGGGGCACTAAGGGAAGGGCTTTAGCTCGGCTCACCAGTTGATAAATGAATGATTTAAGTGGTTTAGCATCCGCTTCTGGCGGGCGCCAATTTCGCCGACGGGGCAGGTGGGTTTTAACATTAAAATATAAATAGCTGGTAACAGGGACTAAAGCACCTGCCTCCTGCGGTGAGGCAAAGGCCGCAGCTGTGAGTTGAAAGGCTGTGAGTGAGCTGGCTGGGTTGAGAGGCCGTGACCTTGTACTGGAGAGGATGTGCTGGTTTGTTTACAATTTAGTGGCTACTGATTGGCTGAGAGAAGGCGCGGATCTCATAGCAGAAATAAAGCGCTCTGGATATCGGTATCCCGGCTGCTTCGTTTCGAGGGAGGTAAACCCAAGTACAAAATATTGCACTTTTGATTTGCGATTATACGCTTATAATTTTGTTTATTTGTTTTTTCATAATCAGCAATGATTATATGTCATGAAGAAGTGATAATTGTGTTTTAATTATGTTTGATTTTTGGTTGCATGTGACCTTTAAGAGAGGTTTTAGATGGCGATAAGGAGGCTGGCTAGACCCTTGTGGTAGTTTGAGTTTGTGGGCGAGGGTATGTAGTTTTTTAGCTGTGGGATCTTTGAGGAGAATGGCTGCAGATATGAATTCTATGAGCTTGTTGAGGTTTTGATTTAATTTTTGTGGTGTGAGAGTGAGGTTGGGTTTGCGTGGGGGACAGTGTGTTTTTTGGTTGTGTGGAGGTGGGGTTGGATAGCTTGGGTGATGGGTGGTTTGGGGAGAGTAGTATTGGTAGGTGGGGGTTGGTTTGTGGGCTTGGGAGATGGTGGGGCAGTGTTAGGGCGGGGTTTGGGGGGATGGGGTGGAGGATGGAGCTTGATGAAGTATTAGCAGAGGGTGTGGAGGAAGACGCTGAGAGTAGAGAGTGATATGCGAGTGATTCGGCAGGTCGGTGTGTTTTATGTGTTTGTTTAGTTTGAGGATGTGGTTTTGCGTGATGGGGCATGTATTTTGTGTTGAAGTGTGTCCGTGTGTGTCACAATGAATGCAATATTTTTGCCATGTACATTCTTCTACTGTGTGGCTGTCCGACCCGCATTTGGGGCATATCATTGGTGATTTGCAAGTGTTGGTTGTGTGTGTGTAAGAGAAACAGTATCTGCATTGTTGTGGGTTTTTCCTGAGTGGGTGTACTTTGTATGATAGTGCTCCAAATGTGATATGAGTGGGGAGTGTGATGGTGTCGAAGGTCAGAAAGGTTGTTTGGGTGTGTGAGTTGTACATGGTGGGTTGCTTGTTATTGATTGTGCGGTATTGGGTGATTTTAGGTTGTGTTGGGATAGTGTTTGCAATGTCTATGTAGTTTTCTGTTTGTGATTCCCTGGCATCAATGTGAATTACCCCCTGTATAGATGATTGCCATCGTGGCAGCTGCCAGTTTATTTGTTTTCCATCAATGAGTGCGTGTTTGGTAGTGTTAGTGAGTTGTTGTGGTTTGGAGGTCAAGAAGGATGGTTTCTAGGTCGATTCCGAAGTTTATTGGTATTGGGTCGACTTGGTGGGGGGATGTGAGTGGCGGAAAGTCTTTGGTAGGGGTGGAGAATAGGGATGAGTTGGGGTAGGGGGAGGCCATGATGCATGGGGAGGGGGCAGGGGGAGGGAGGGGTGTAGAATTGTTTTGTGGGCTGTGGTGTAGGGCTGGGAAGGGTAGGAAAAAATGGAATCGAGTACCCACATGTGCTTACCCGATCGGAATCGAGTACCTGGAAATGTAAGGAATACAGCGCTTCTGTCAACTGTCTGAATATTCAATCACGAGTTGACAGAGATTATTATAGAAACTTGAAAGGATGGCAATAAGACATTAAAACAGATCTTAGGCTATTTAATTTACGTCTATTTAACCAACATAAAGAGTGACAGCATTACTTACATTCACAGAACCTTTCGTTCCCGCCGCTCATGCGTAGATAAATTACAGTCGTTAATAATAACCTTCATTAACCGGACAATACCAATGATGTGTGACTTCAATTATGAAAAAGACAAGTTATCATCTGCCCTTGTTAATCCAGGTCTCCCTTTCCGGGTACACGATTCCTAGAAATAGGACTCGATTCCAGGTGTCCGGTTTGGGTATGTACACAATATATAGGTATGATAGAAACAAATTACAAATGAACATATATACAAATGAAAGGTAAACAAAATAAACTGGGAGAAATGTGAGGAATTGTCTTTGAATTATTTGATTGTCTATTTACAGATCATCCATTTGCACAGAGTAACAAGGAAAAAATGGCGCACACTTGCGATTGTTAGTCCCAGATTGGGTGGCCGCGGTTAGCGGCCGGTAGGGTAGGGGTGACCGGTCGCTTTGCTGATGTGGGTGTCTGAGGTTGAGAGGAGGAGGGTAGATTTGGTGTAGGATTGATGGACCAGTACGTCCAGCTTCAATGAGATAGGATAAGTGAATGAATAATGAATGAATGGACCAGTTGATAAAAATCTCCTTTCTCTTTATACGTTGCTGCAAGTCCGAGATTTTGAATCTTTATCTCTCATATTGCAAACAAGCACTCTACCCTCGAAACTTTTTTTTATGTTCGTCTATACTCCAACTAGAATCTCAGTCTATGCAGTTACTTAATTAACTTGCATTTCCTGATTAAAATAATAACTTTCATTAATTACTAAGTGTTTGAAAATAAACTTACTGCTTGTAATCTCTTTATTGTCAGATCACTTGGACATACATGTATCTTAATTGATAAACCCCTTTAGTTAATCTAATCTCATTACTAAGCATCTTGAGACCCCCAAGATCTCCAATAGCCTCTCCCAAACAGATTTTACGGGTCAGTAACTCCACGGCTCACACTGACCCATGGAGAAATCACTCATGCGTGGTTAGACACTCCAGGTATAGTCAAGGCCTAAAAATTAGACGAACCAAGTTGTAATCTGGAGAGGAGCTTTAACCAGTAAGCAATAGAGCGTTTAAGATCGTACACATTGATAGGATATCTACTAGTTTCTGGTATCTGTTCCAGGTATATGTAATAGTGTATCAGTAAATGAAATGTAAAGGGGGTGGCTGGTCGTGTGCTAGGGGGATTCGGGACATGATCCGACTAGCCGCTTTGCTATCTTTTCAATACCCAATCGATTTAAATGTTGCGTGCCATATACCTCACCTAACTAAGATCATTAATCTTGTTGGAACAGTAATCAATAAATTCAAAGTAATGTGTATGTCTCTAGCTGTATATGTTGAGACTAGGATCAATACTGTACCTATGCACAATGACTTTGCAAGTATATTTCTCTGAGTGGGGTAGTTTCCAACGTCCAAGTTATTGAATATGTTTATTACTAAACAATGTGTCACATAACGATGAATATGCTAATATCTACACCGAGAATTATATTCAACCTCCAGTTCATACAGATAAAGGTTAAATAAAAACAAGACCCTCCCTGACAGAAGACACAAGACCCTCCCTGACGGAAGACACAAGACCCTCCCTGACAGAAGACACAAGACCCTCCCTGACAGAAGACACAAGACCCTCCCTGACAGAAGACACAAGACCCTCCCTGACAGAAGACTGTATAAACAAGTTTGCCGCCTCTGCTGCTCTTCATCCGATGCTCATTGTAGGTGATGGTGTGTTATCGGTCGAGTGCCAATTTCAGCATAGACATTAACATGTCAATTTTACTAGGACAGAGGGAGTGAGTTGGATTTTACGCCGCATTTAGCAATGTTCCAGCGGTATCACGACAGGGGACACCAGAAATGGGCTTCACACATTGCACCAATATGGGGAATCCAACCCGGGATTTCGGCGTGACGAGCGAACTCTTTAACCACTAGGCTACCCCATCGCCCCTGCTAGGACAAACTTTAAATTAATTGAAACCCAGAGTAAGTTATATTAAAGAATGCAGAAGTGGTTCACAGCAATATCACGGCGGGGGACACCAAAAACAGGCTTCACACAGTGTACCCATGTGGAGAATCGAACCCGTGACGACCGAACGCGTTAACCATTAAGCTCTCCCGCCGTACCTGTTCCTTTTTTTAACTGTCTATGTTGATTCCCAGGCGGTGCTTCTTGGTGTGAATACGTCCCCTCGGACGAAGCAGGACGTATCGTATTTCTTCTAATCAGCGCCGGGACTCAAATAAGCGCCGGTGTGGAAGTCCGTTGAAATAATAAGCGCCCGGGCCCTTATTAGAGGAAATTCGCTATTTGTTAATCTGGTGATATTGGAAGGCAGTTAGTGAGTGACTTAGTGAAGAAAAACAGTTTGCTCTACGCCCATTTATAGTGTACTAAAGTACAGTTTTGCCTTGAACTATTCTATTTAAACTCCGTTTGCGTCCCAGTTCTTTAACGTCACAAAGGTTCGTGGGGAAAGACTGTACTTTCATACACTATACATGGTGGCAAAGCGAACAGATTATTTTGTTAGATGTCAAATCGAATACAAAGCATTGGATGCTGTTACAATATACAAATGGCAATATTCCAGCTATATGGCGGCGGTCTGTAAAGAATCGAGTCTGGACCAGAAAATCCAGGGATCAACAGCATGAATATCGATCTACGCAATTGGTATACTATGACATGTGTCGCCTCTTACGACAAGCAGGGGTTACTGAAGATCAATATTTTAACCTGGACCTTCACGGGTATTGAAAATGAAGTATACAATATGTTATATGATGATATATTAGTATATGATAATATGGATAATATGGTCATTGAATGTTTAGTTTGGCCCTTTTGACTTTCCCTTGGCCCGTTTGACTTTTTCAGTTTTGGCCCCTTTGTCCTTTGGCCCTTTGAACTGTTTCCCGATTCAGAAGTGTTCACCGCCATTTTTCCCTTTGAGTTGAAGGCTTTAGTAAATTCTATAAAAACTGAAAACAGTTTATCTCCCTTTTTCAAAAGATATCTTGAAGTAGAGCATGAAAAAACATATATTTTCTGTGGTAGTGTATCCTTTCCCGAAGTCGGCTTGGGATACTGCTACTTTACAATCATAATCAACCTAACACACAAGTCATTTATTCATAATATGCTGGAACAGTATGTTGAAGATACTAAGCAAAGAAGTCTGTATAGGTGTTTGTATTATTAACGAAACTTGCTTATGAAGTGTGACAAATACGCCTACT